GGAGGTGGAGGTGGAGGTGGAGGTGGGGGAGGTGGTGGACTCCTAGGTGAACAACCAGAAGCACCACAATCCACAGGATGTGAATAAAAGGCCTTACATTCTCCAGCTGACCTTTGTGCCGGCCTTCCCGGAATACAGTTTTCCCGGTCATCTTTATCCGGCAATTTGAGGCACGTTGCCGGTTCACTACAGAAGTAATTGTCCGAGTATGTGAAATTCTGCAACATCGGCAACGAGCATATACTCGCCGGAATCTCGCCGGAGAGTTTGTTAGACGCGACATTCAGTTGCTCCAAGCTCTTCATGCCTCCCATAGACTCCGGCAACGTCCCAACAAAACCATTTTTGCTCACATCAAACACTGTCACATTCTTCAACAGCCCTATCTCTTCCGGCAGACATCCACTCAAACCCATGCCCATGAGAATAATCTCATTTAGGGTTCCGGCCATTTTCGATATACTCGATGGCAAACAACCGCTAAGATCGCTATTCGCCAAAACCACCACTGAAACTGGTAAACTACCAATGTTTTCAGGGAAAGATGAATTAAAATTGTTGTTATTTATGAACAAAGCGTCGAGTTTGAGTTCGAAAAGGCTTGATGGAACTTTACCCTCAAAATCATTGAATCGAATATCAAGAAATCTGAGAGAGGAAAGGGAAAGAACAACAGAAGGAAACTCGCCGGAGAAGAGGTTGTTGCTAACGTCGAGCTCATAGAGAAGATGGAGCTTACTGAAGCAGTTTGGTAGGGTTCCACAAAAGCGGTTGGAGTTTATATGGAAGAGAGCTAAGTCAGTGAGGAGAGCCAGATCCTCCGGCAAAGTTCCGGCGATGTCGGCATGGTTCAGGTCAATTCCGGCTACTGTAGTGACATGAGGGTCATCTAGGGCTGGTGCACAGAATACTCCGGTGTAGTTACAAACATTTGGGCCATACCAGTTTGAAGTGAACCCTTTAGGGTCTGATGTGATTGCATGTTTCCATGCTTGGAGGGCGATGTAAGCATTTTGAAGTCTAGGGTTTGGAAGGGGTGGAGGAGAATAAGAAGCTTGGTGAGAGAGATTTGAGAAGATGGAGAGAAGGAAGAAGAAGCCCCAGAGGGCTAGGTTGAGATGTGGGCTGGTCTTCATTTTTGGTATTAGGTCATTGATGATGTTGAAAAGTTCTTTGCCATTTCATGTTGATCAGAGAGAGGGTTTACTGGTATATAAATGGGTCTTGTTAACTCTTGAAGAAGGTTGGGTAGTCCTAAAAATATCATAAAATTAATCAAATGGCTTAAAGTTTAAATCACATCTCACTTTCATTTTTTTATGCAGATTTTATTAATTGGATAACAGTTTGACATGGTGGCGTGCTGACCATGGCTTACATGAACACAATTTGGCTGAATTTGTATTTAAGTCAGATATTTTCGATCCGATATCATGTCACATTATGTAATAAACCAAGATTTTTAAGCTATTCGACCAAGTCGTTCACCAAGTCAACAAGAGTCCTGTTGTCGGAGTCATGCCACTAATTCAGCTACTATACCATGTCCGATGCCAAAATATGATCGGAACATCTAGTTCTGATTAACTATTGTTTTCCTTTGTAACATTTCGTGTATTGTTCAATATCGTTCCATAATGCTAAAATCGAATCGATGATCAACATCGTAACTTTCGACCATGGTGCTGAATACTACAAGTGACTAATGTTTCGATTTGACTTATATGGCTAAGAGGAAGATAACACTGAAAGTTCATATTTCTCTTGTGGTCTACTTTCCATTAGTTTTTTTTTTTTCCATTTTTCCTTTCTTTATCATGGGTTCTGAACTGGCATGGAAGACTAAGTAAGATGACGTTATGCAATTTTCAGAGAGTTGGATGAAGATTAGCAGCTGATCTCACCAAAAACACGGTTCTTATGCTTGTGGCTGAAGTTAGAATATTTTTGCATATGATCGATCAATTAACAAAAGCCTAAAATGCAATTAAATAGAGCAGAAAAGGTTAGCAAGGAAACCTATCCAGTGACCTACTAACCTCTACTCTAATGGAATATTCATGGGACGAATGGGGTGGACAACAAAATTGCGAAACTGCAATCAAGAACAATGTGTGGGGGCATATGAAATTATAGCAAAATTCCAAAAATGCAATCAAGCGAACTGTACCTGTTGTGCATATGAAACTCTTGTTCCTTTTTTTTTTTGCTGTTTAACTCTTGTTCCTTGATCAAAAATAGATTTGTTAAGGTTCTAATCACGATTCATAACCTTCTAAAACATTTAAGAAGATGGAGATGGTATTAAATATTACTTATGTATCTATATATTTTAACGAGTAATGTTATTTAGACTTAAAAATTAGATCTTATTTGTTGACCTGATGATGTGGCTTCACTAGAATTATTGGATAGAAATAAGTTCTAATATTTAATGGGACCGATAATTAATCCAAATGTCTTAGTGAATTAAGTTAAAAAATGAGGTCAAATTTTTAGGTCCAAATAACATTACTCTAAAACACGCTCCCTCGCCTATAGGCTGATATGAGCTAAGTACGTGAAAGTCTTTCGATTATTAGGATGGTAAAGAGATTTAAAGGCCGAACTTTTTGCTTTGATACATGTTAAATCATCATCTATTCTAAAAGTTTTAAGTTTTTTAAAAAAGGTATAAGTTAAGTATTTATAAAAATTTCCGACAAGCTCGAGATAAAATCCGAGTGGTAAAATTTTATCAAAGTGTCCTCTCTCACCAGCAAGTTTTTTTTTTGGGGAAATATGTTATTCAGAAGGCCTACCAACTTGGTTATAAATAACATGGTGGTTGGGAGTTTGGAAAGCGAATCGTCCCAACAATAAGCTGGTGATTTATATATTTATAAATATAATTTATTAATGCATACCTTGCATGCATTGACAAAGTAAATGATTGTGATTGTGAGACGTTTTAAGGCACAAATTATTCAAAATTTCAATTAACTCTCTGGATTTCACTTTTGTCAATGAAGAGCTCCATCAAGCTTTTTGTATTCCCACCTGAACTCTTTATTGTTTAAATGCTTAATGAAAAGTAAGATAGAGAGGAGACTAAAAAAGCAAGCCGCATTTAAGTCGAAGTATGGCTGTTAATGTTTCACTGTCGTGTTGGGTTTGTGTCATATCTCAATTGTGTCATGTCAAAATATATTTAATCTATATTCGATCTATTTATAATCGTGTCATGTTCAGTTTGAATCATATTTAACGGATNGATAGAGAGGAGACTAAAAAAGCAAGCCGCATTTAAGTCGAAGTATGGCTGTTAATGTTTCACTGTCGTGTTGGGTTTGTGTCATATCTCAATTGTGTCATGTCAAAATATATTTAATCTATATTCGATCTATTTATAATCGTGTCATGTTCAGTTTGAATCATATTTAACGGATCCATCTTCACACCACCCGAACATGGTTAGGCGAAACTCAACTTGCTAACTTCGTATCTGTTTTGTATTTGGTTCGCTAATGGCCTAAATCAAAGATTTGTATAGTGTCCCGAATTGGGATTAATCCTCATTCTAAAAGACAAGAATCCCACATCGATTTGGATAGAAAACATCATAGGACTTATATATAAAGACCAGAAGAGACCAATTTAAGTGTAGCTGAAACTTTGGAGTTGAGCTTAAATTTTTGGGTTAGGTTTGAATCGAGTTGTAGGTGCATCAAAGTTGATAGCAATGGACCATAGGAGTGATTTTTTTGTAAATTTAAATAAACTTATTATAGTATAACTCAAAACACGTCCAAATGGGGACATGAAGCATCCTTAACCTAACCAAATTTATGAACCCTACATGATATCGATATGTAATATGAATATTTTTTACAAAACAATTTGATTTTGTGGTGGTGGTTGGTGTTGGGGGAGGGGGTAAAATCTTATGGAATCCTTTATCAAAGGTCTAAAGGCGAAGCAGGTGAGTTCAGTGGGAGGCAAGACTTGGAAATCGGTCCATTTAGGCATGCTGGTTATTCTTTTTCTTTGAGGTTTTGAATTGCTTGTGATGTGAATTTTGTGTAATTTAAACCCCACTTGAATGTGGAAAGTGGAAAATTGTTCAAGTCAACTAACAAATGTTTGGTAGGAAAATTAACAAATAAGAAACAGCCAGTAATGAGAATAAGAAAAAACTAAGAAGGGCTATTAATCTATGGAAATAGATTTCTGAAAAGGTCAATTTTTATTTTTTTTTTACAAATCAAAACGATAAAAAATTAAATTTCAGTGAATCGTAACAGCAAGACCACTCTAAAAAGGTCAATAGTCTGTGAATATATGCTTCGGATGAGAACAAGAAGCGTCTGGATTGGTGGTGAAATAAGCAAATACAACAAGTAATTAAGAAGATTACAACTCCATAAGACTATTTCATAAACAAGACATATCTGCTCTCCTCAGCATTGTTTGTTTGCTTTTGGAGCTATTATAGATTATATGAGTCTTGTTGGGCTGGGTAATCGAAAATCTAATTCAATACAATTATTAGATTAGTTGTAAGTTTCAGTGTTAAATAAATCTCATTTTCAATTCTATGGTTGCACTGAATTGAGAGCCCAAATTAGTTCCAAATCCAAATAACATTTTCCATCGAGAAAAAGTGAAAGATAGAGTTCACGAGTGCCATTTTTCACATCTAGCAATTTCTTTTTCGTCATTCGGACTTCGTTTCCTTGAAAATACATTGCAAAGAATCGACAAAGAATCCATTAATATGATGTATTTACCATTGATGATGCCTAAAGTAACTGAGGTCAGCCTAAAGTAAGTGAGGTTAGCTCAGGAGTTCAGCTCTAATCGGGAGGTCAGTCATATTAACTAAGTTCAGAAGGCAAGGGTTGAATGCCTCTTGAGGCAAAACAATGACTGGATAACCACGAGAGGTTCCTAAAACGTTAGGAAGTTATAATCAAGGCACCTAATCTCAACCAACCAAGATCTTCTCCTAGCATTAAGGAGAACCCTATGAAATAAGGGCAAGAATCTCGGCCAAGATCCCACTGAATAAGGAACATCCCTATAAATACTATGTAACGCCCCCAAGGAGGGGAGAGGACCCTAGTATCACATATTACAGTCTATAAACCTTTTGATATAGTAAATAGTGAAAGAAGGAGCAAGAATCTTCATTGAAGAGTGGATTAGCCAAACTCTCGAATTGTGAACCACTATATTTTCACTGTGTACACCCCTTTAATCCCCTGAATACTTTATCGTTGCATCATACATGAGCCTTGAAGCTCTGATTCATGCTCATCTCACATTACCTGCACTTTAAGCTCATCCACGTTGAAATACGCCATCAGTTTGGCGTCGTCTGTGAGAACGACTGTTTCTGTTACGAATAACACTAATTTTTTAGTGACTGATGGTATCAACGCGAAACATGAGCCGAAGTCAGACCAATCTTCTACAGATGCAAGATCAACAGGAAGCCACAAATAACAGACGATCCGAAAACGCTCAAGAAGTAGATCCCCCATGGGGGGCATTCCCATGAATAATGAGATGGAGGTCTTTCGTCTTGTCAATGAACATCTAATAAAACAAAATGAAAAGCTCTTAAAGATCCTACAACGCCTACAGGAGGTGCAACCGGCCCAAGGAGGCTAGAATAACCCACCACCAAGAGAGCAACCGCATCTTGACCCCCTCAGAGAAGTTAATGAGGTGGGAGAGAATAGCCAGACCTTGGGGCAAGAACCTCGGCTATCCCCTAGAAATGGTCACAACGAGGAAGTGCAAAGTCAGTATAGGGAAGGGGAGATGAACGACTTTTTCTCTTATCAACAGGAGAGAAGAGAACACCACTGGGAGCAATGTTTCAAAAACATCCAACAAGAGCTCAGCCAGATGAAGGAAAGAGTGAAGAGCAAGGCCCCAGTCACTATGGATGCCTTGGTGCAACAAACCAAATCCCCATTCACTGTTGGGATGCTGCATTTCCCTCTCCCACATAAATTCATAATGCTGTAGGTGGATGCTTTCGATGGGACAAAAGATCCCGTGGACCACCTCAACACCTACAAAAATCAAATGGAGTTGCATGGATATCAAGATCCAGTGAGATGCAGGGCCTTTGCTATCACCCTGA